CCTGGACCGGGTCACTGTCAGGGTCACTGTCAGGCTCCTGGACCGGGGTCACTGTCAGGGTCACTACCAAGTGCCTGGACCGGGTCACTGTCAGGACCATGGACCGGGTCACTGTCAGGGTCACTGTCAGGGTCACTGTCAGGCCCCTGGACCAGGTCACTGCCAGGCCCCTTGACCGGGCCACTAGCAGCCCGATCCGGATGGGAAGCTGTGCAGATGTGCTGCCAGCTGTGGACGGAACCGGGTGCTGCCTTTTCTCTGCTGTAAAGACAAAGGGACAGATGGTGGACACTGTCCTGGTCTTGGTTTGAGACCAGGACAGAGATGCAGGTCTTAAGTTAGAACTCTCTGAGGGCCACCTTAAGAACTTTTCACCTGGTTCTGGTCCAGAATATTTGGACCCTTCTTTAGTGGCAGCCCTGCTGGTTCTCTTCAGTCCCCATGTGGACTTTCAGACCCGTGTCATCTGTCCATCCGTCTGTCCGTCCATTTTTATTTATCTTCTTTTTGCGAAGCTGACGTCCAAATCCAGCAGTCGCTGTGTGAGAGCTGGAGGACACCATGGACATGACATGGACATGGACAAGACATGGACACGGACAAGACATGGACATTCTCCCAAATTAAAACTGAATTACAATAAGTATCAGAAAACTGGACAGATGGACCGACACAGGAAGTCATGACTGCGGGCTGATAAAGACCTTCAGCTGCACAGACTAAACTGACTGTAAATATGTGTCAGTAAAATATTCAGTGGGTATAAATACACACCCAGTGGGTATAAATACATACAGTGTATAAATGCACTCATTGATCAGTATGTATAAATACACAGAGTGTAAATGAGTGTATTTATACACTCTACGTATTTATACACAGTGCGTATAAATAAACAAACTGTTCAGTCATCAGCTGTAAAAACATGTTTGTTTGTTTGTTTGTTTTCTAAAGTCCAGTTAGTCCATCATGAACTGCTGGGCTGGTTCAGAAGATCTGGACTCATTTTAGAGGACTTTAGCTCCAAACCACGGCTGGGGGTCCTCCCAGAACCTCTGTCCTCTAGTCCACTCTGGTCCTTCAGTCTCTGTCTTTTTAAAGGCAGATGAAGAACTGGACCTGTTCTCTTTGGACCTGGACTCTGGTTCAGACTCGACGTGCACGGAGACATCTGAAGTCCACGTCTCAGGGTTTGAATGGAAACAAACCACAGAGCTCACGACAGCACCGGACTCTGCCGGGCTCACGGCAGAACCGGACTCTGCCGGCCTAACGGCAGAACCGGACTCTGCCGGGCTCACGGCAGAACCGGACTCTGCCGGCCTCACGGCAGAACCGGACTCTGGCCGGGCTCACGGCAGAACCGGACTCTGCTGCAGACGTTTGGACTGAACGTTATTTTTTTTTATAAAATCACTTCAAATTAAAAACTGTGTTTTTACCGGAACATCTCGGTCCCTGTTGGACTTCTTTTGGGTCCAGAGCCGGACCGCGGGCCACCGCTTGTAAACCGAGTGTTGAGGATGACTCTCGGCTACTACCACACCACATACAGGACTGCGTTACTACAGCATGCTAACACTGGCTGGCTGTGGCGGCCATCTTGAATGAAGGTTGTAGAGGCAAGTGGTTCATAAGATATTTTGCTAACGGACAGATTGTGCATGTAAGACTGTAGCTTGGTACAGGTCTGGAGTGATGGAGGGTGGTAGTAGCTGAGTCTCTGACGTGTTCCTGTTCAGGGTTTGATCAAATCGGCTGCAGTTGTTTCTCAGCATGGGGTGATGTCGGTCTCACAGCGGGTGACATGCATTCCTGTAACTGTCTGAACCTGGTGATCCAGATCTGGGTCCTGCTGCTGGGTGGTCTTGGTGTTAACGAGTCTGGTCCAGGAAGCGTACGAGTGTTCAGTTGTAGCTGGAAACAGGAAGTGAACGTTGCTCAGCTGCAGAGGTTCCATCAGGCTACAAGTTCCTGCACAAACTCCCAACATGTCAGAGAGCGCCTGAATACTTCAGAGTCCTGTGCAAGTCCTGACCTGACTTCCAGGTCCTCTTATCAGGGAGTCTGAACGTCTGCTCAGACCCACATGGATCAGTCCCAGCTGCAGCCGGTCTCAGTGTTTACATCACTCTGGACAAGTCCTCACATCCTGCTCTTTCTGCTGACTGCTCCTCTTCTTCTTGTTTATGTTTATTTGTCATGTGCAGGTTCTCACAAGGTCAACAATGCAAAGAAATGTTCAGGATGACTGATTCGACTCGCTAAAAACAAGGAATACTAAAGCATGCAATAAAAGTACAAAATAAAGTACCAAAAATGGAAGAAATATTTTTACAAGGTCCAAAAAATATATAAACAACAACATGGTAGAATATAATGGTATTATAAGTAATAAGTATTTCACATTTTATTAGCTTAAACCCACATTATTTTCATTCATTCAACCTTTATTTATACAGGCTAGCCTCATTGAGTAACGAGGACTCATTTACTAGAGGGACCTGTTCCAGACAGAGTTATATATTTTATAAATTGCACATAACTAACGTACTACACAGGTTGTGTGACAGGTTATTGCACAGGTAGTGAGAAACACTGAGATGAATTATGATGGTAATGTAGTGACATACATGATACAGCCACATAGTGCAGCAGCAATAAACACATTGGGTGTCACAGATGTGGCTTGGTGCAGTGCTATTGTCAAAAGTTCAGTAATCTGACAGCTTGTGGGTAACAGCTGTCCTTTAGTCTTTTTGTACATGATGACAAACTCCTGTATCTTCTGCCTGAGGGTAGTAGACGAAAGAGTCTTTGTGCTGGGTGGGTGTGGTCCTTAATGATGCTGCGTGCTTTACGCAGACATCGGCTGTGGTAGATGTCCTGGATGGTGTGGAGACTGCTACCAGTGATGTCCTCTGCTGTTTGCACCAACCGCTGTAGAGCTTTCTGGCTCTGACTGGTGCAGTTCCAGTACCACCCTGCGATGCAGCCTGTCAGCAGGCTCTCAATGGTGCACCAGGAGAAAGTTGGTGAGAATGCTGGTGTTCGTTCCAAACTCCTTTAGTCTTTTTAGGAAGTAGAGTCTGTCAGGCTTTCTTGACCACAGTGTCGTATGTAATGTTCAGGACAGATCCTCAGTAATGTGAATGCTGAGGAACTTGAAGCTGCTGACCTGTTCCACCTCAGCGTTGTTTGATGGGGGAGTGCTGGCCTCCACGCTGTTTGCTGAAGTCAACCATCATCTCCTTTGCTTTGCTGACATTCAGAGAGAGGTTATTTACCGGACACCAGCTCGTCAGTGATTTCACCTCATCTCTGTAGGCACTCTCATCATTGTTGGCGATGAGGTCCAAGATGGTGGTGTCATCAGTAAAGTAAAGTGCTATGTGTCATCATTGCATGTTCCCATACAATGACAAAAATGATTCTCTAAATTTAACCCATCGCACCTGGGATACACCCAGGTGAAGCAGTGGGCAGCTATGTAAGCTCCCGGGGAGCAATTATAGATTAGGTGGCTTGCTCAGAGACACCACAACATGTGGGAATGGCTGGGCATCAAACCTGGGACTTTAGGGTCCCGAGTCAACTGCCCTGCTTCCACCCCATTGTGGCCCCTAGGTGGTGCATCTGGTGGTGTCATCAGCAAACTTGAAGAAGACATTTAATCTGTGCCTGGTGCTACAGTCATGCATGAATAGAGAGAACAAGAGTGGACTGAGGACACAGCCCTGAGGTGTACCGGGGCTGAGGACTAGTGTGGAGGAGAGGTGACTGCAGATTCTCACAGCCTGTAGTCTGTTGGTGAGGAAGTTCGGTATCCAGCAGCAGATGGACTTCACCAGTCCTAAGATGGTATTGTCATCAGCGTATTTGAAGATGGCGTTGGATCTGTTCCTGGCAGTACAGTCATTCTTCAGCTTCTTTGTCTTCTTCAGCTTTTTCTGTTTCTTCTTCTTCTGCTTCTTCAGCTTTTGCTTTTTCAGTTTCTTCTTCTTCCTCAGCTTCAGCTTCTTCTTTTTCTTCTTCACCTTTAAGGTGGCGTTCAGGTGTTGACTGCACATTTGTCCTTATAAGGGTATAAGCTGCTGCACCTTCAGTTGGAAACCTCCCGCCTTCTACCTCCTGTCTGTTTCCAGCCCCTCCCAGCGGCACCCCCCACCCCCTCAGGATACACGTCAACTCAGAGATAAGAGCCACTGATTTCACAAGTTTAGCCTGGAAAAAGTCTGAAGAGACAGAACCCGGCCTTTATCAGGGGAACCTGGGACCAGAAGGCCTAACTAGGAGACACCAGGTGTCTCTGACTGGTACATATCAGTCCACATGTCTCTACCAGGTCTCCAACTCAGTCCCTCCACTCCCCAGGGCTTCTGTTCAGTTTCTGTGTCAGGTGTGTGGTGAGTGAGTAGTCAGATGTGGGTGGTGGTGGTGGGGGGGGGGGGGTCAGATAGCATCCTGACCAACACCTGCAGTCAGTAGCTGACATGTCTACATCTGCAGGGTCCAGATCCTCCAGTCCTCTGACTGTTCCGTCCAAACCTCAGACTGCAGCTGAAGGTCAGGGGGGTTTCATTTCTGCTTCAGGTCAGGTCCACATGTTCCCAGCAGCTGGTGGTTCCTCTCAGCCCTGAAGCATTTGTTCTTTCTGTGCCCAGGTTCCAGATCCTGTGTTCAGGAACTGACTCAACACTCGCGCTGCGGTCCAGCTTCAGTAAGAGAAGCTGCGGGTTCGGTTCCTCTCCACCGTCAGTTTGATTATACAACAGGATGTGTAACCTCATCTCTGAAAGGCTTCCCATCTTCGAACCTCACCGTTCATCTAATGATGCTTGTCGCCCGCCACCTTTCATTACAGACATTTACACGATCATCTTATGTGGAGAAATGTCTCGAGTTGGAATGGTTTGTGTGTTCGCTCAGGTCGTTGTGTTTAATCAGGTTGACTCTAAAAGTTCATCAGTTGTAGATGTTCATCCTATGATGATTTCTATAAATTCATCCAGTCGTTTGTTGGTAACAGATAAACACAACATTATCGCCCACCTGTTGGTGGTGAGCGATGAGTAGTCGTTGTACAGAGGTTGTGTAGTGCAGCTGAAACTCCCTGCAGACTCTGATGGTCCTACACATCCAGGCGAGTGGTGGGGAATCCATGACTCCTTTCTTCTTCAGAATCAGAATCGATGCTTTTATTATCTTCGCACAGTGAAGTTCAACAAAATGACTTTCCGTACAGCCGTCCTAAAGATGGACAGAAGTTTTGAGCTGATTTTATTGTTGTTGTGTATTTATTGTTAACTTTCTTATGTTTTTGAGTGGCACTAGATGCATTTTTTACTCTTCATCTCTAACTGTAAAGCACTTTGGTCAGCTGTTGTTGATTTTATGTGCCATATAAATAAATTGACATTGACATTGAGAAGTGTACAGGGGGCTGCAGCTTCTAAGATGTGCTGACCCTCATCATTATCACTCAAAAAATATAAATCCAAACCAGTTGGAACGTCGAGTAAAATCTATACGTAAACAAAATAATGTATTTAGTTTGAATTTGATTCCATCATCACATTTCACAAAAGTCAAAAGATCCAGGACTGTTGGACAGCTAGAACCCTCCATCAAACTGGAATGGGACATTTCTTTCTAAACCTCCAACAACTGGTCTCTTCAGGTCCTCGTAAACCTCCAACAACTGGTCTCCTCTGGTCCTCCTAAACGTCCAACAACTGATCTCCTCATGTCCTTCTAAACCTCCAACAACTGGTTTCTTCAGGTCCTCGTAAACCTCCCAACAACTGGTGGTCTCAGGTCCTCGTAAACCTCCAACTGGTCCTCAGGTCTTTGTAAACCTCCACCAACTGGTCTTTTCGGGCCCTCCTAAACCTCCCAACAACTGGTCTCCTCTGGTCCTTCTAAACCTCCAAAAACTGGTTGTCTCAGGTCCTCGTAAACCTCCAACAACTGGTCTCTTCTGGCCCTC